TGATTTTTCCATTGATCTCGTCCTTCATGAGACCCAGAACCTTTTTATTGACAAGAGGCATGTTGAAGACATTGTTAGGCGGGTAATCGGAGGTATCAAACCGTGAGATATCACGTTTGATGTCTTCATAGATGTTGGGTACATTAAATTGGTAAATTAAACTGTCTGTGTCAGTGTACAATAGTTTTGAATCTTTTTCATAATTTTTTATCACATAATTGTAGTGAAAGTCGTAGATATAAGTTTTAGATAAATCTAATATACTAAATCCTACATAAATTGGTTTGTTGAAGCAAACTCTTACTTGTTTTAGTTCAACTATAACCATATCTTCATCAAAAATAGTGAGATTATGAAAGTTTGGTCTGCACACTAGATCGGATACATTGTATCGACCTTGCCACTTTGTTCGAAGCCAAACTTCTTTGTATTTTCGTACATTCTCCATCGTCTTTCCAAAAACCGCATTATTCATTAATTTATAAAAGTTTTTTTCGAACTCATTCTTAGCTAGTTTTCGGCATGCGGTATTTTTATCGATATATGATTTGAGCCAGTCTGATTGCTCAAATTTCAAGACTCGATGTATTTTCTTAAGAACTAAACCTAAATCTAAACATTGTTTCAAATTTTTATAGTGAATAACATAATTATTTTTATCGTACAGAGTTGTCGTGAGTTTTTGTTGTTTGCTACCAGGTGGTATAAAATGTTCAGGGCATAAGGGTAGATCTTTATGTAGATCATGTAGTTTCTCAGGATAGTGTAGATCTACTTCAAGGATGTAGCCTACACTTTCATCATCATTGAAAAACTGATCTACATCATCTACATTTTCAACCCATTCAAATTTTCCTTTAGGTAAAGACATACTCATCCCAGCACCATATAAATTATTTACATCATAATACATCAGGTATGTTTCAGGGTTGTTTGAATCAAAATCTTTACCCATGTACCGGTTGTTAGCTTCAGCGTGTCTATTAGCACACATCGATACCCCACCACCTACACCCTTTTCAATGAAAAGAAGCATCTCAGGATCAGTAAATAGTTCAAGTTCTACACCAGTATGCTTTAACATTGCTGAGTTCGAAAGACCTGGTGTTGTATGAAAATGTAGAGCATCTAGATTGTATGTTTTAAAGCAACTACGTCTAAAGTTTTCAAAGACATCAGCCAAGAGAAGGACATCAGTCTTTACTTAAAGACTGATGTCTTATACTTATACTTATAAGTCCGAGTACTCTCCAAGCGTGTTAATATTAAATTCATTCCAAACTACTTGAGCAAAAGCATAATCATCATCAGAAATAGTTGAGTTTGTTAATTTTGAATAAAATGAATCCTGGTCAGGTAACTGTTTCTCGTCTAGTCTGTCAATACTGTCAATGTACTCATACGAGAATACACCCTTACGTATTGCTAATTTGAATTTGTCAGGGTCAGGGTAATGGAGTCGCGTAATCTGTTTGTCTTTGTCATCAAGGTATGAAGCTAATTTTTCTAAACTGGAGGCCATAAATCTAAAAGAGTCAATAAATCTTAAAGAGACTGAAGTATTTTTAACTGATTTTGTGAAAGAAATGTAACGCTCTTTATTGATCGGTAGTAATGAAATTTCACCTTCAAATACTGTAGCTAAGGATTTAATTATAAAGTGTGAGTCATAGCCGGATAAATTATGAAAGACAACTGGGATAATTGTAGATTTCTGATAATTAACATTGCATGATTTATGAGCAGCATCTCTGTAGTTACCGGTAAAGTGACAATGATCATAGACTTTATCTGTCGTAGAAGTGATTGGTTTCTCGCAAATATAACACACAGTTGCCTGGTTGTGTCTACCTTGTTGCTCTTTCGTTAAGGGTTTCATTTTTATAGGGTTCTTTAGAATTTGTTCAAAGTCCAGAGCTAATGACTCTAATTGTTTAGCAAACCAGTTGATGCAATCAGGAGAACGGTTTAATTGGAATCTAGACAGTGTGTTATCATAGCTGCAATGTACATAGTAAGCAATACTGTATGGAACATGTTTATGAACTATCTTTTCATCATCTCCCGGGGGTTCGAGTGTGCATTCAAGATCCGCGTAAACTACAAACGGTACAGTATCTTTGGACTTAAAATCTTTAAATTTCAAAATTTTATTTTTTTCACTAGGAAAATCCATGCGGACTTTGTTAGTTTTAAAATAATCTACTCGGTGCTCTAAATAACATTTTTCTAGTTTAAAATGATTCAAACACCGATCACAAAAGTACAATTTATGTCTACCTAGAGATATTTGACTTGTAATTAATCCAGAAAGATTATGTATCCATGCAAAGTGATAGACAAACTCAATATTATCTAAATTATTAGTGTAATTAACACTTTTTTAATCATTAATAAATGAATCGTTGGTATTTCCGACTCAAAGTTACTTAAATATAATGGTATAATGGTACTTTTTTCAGACTTTTTACCCGTGAATTCAGAATCTATACCATATACGTTAATGCTAAGATCATTCATTTTTTCAAATTTCGGGATGTCATTAAGCTTAATTGGAAATTGAATACCTTCATAATTTAATCTGACGCTGAAGTGACGATAACTTGAAGGGTCAGCTGGAACCAATACTGGTGGATGCAAGGCGGCGTTGACACACCACAGGAAGCAGAACTCATCATCGTTCTGGATGTTCGTAACCGCACGCTTCTTCTTGACAATATCCTTGGGCAATCTGACGAAGGTGGAGTTCCCAACTTGAGTTGGTGCGAATCTTGACATAGTCACCATCAAGCTGTTCGGTCCAAGCAGACTCCATCCGGAACCCTCATGTTCAAAATCTTCAATTCACTGCTTCAACTTCTCATACACATGCTCAGTGTACCAATCCTGAAGAGATGTGGCAGGGAGTATCTTACGGCTTTTGGTCATGAAAGATTTTCGTTCTTCTATGTCTTGTTGATGTTTCCGGAATGTGCAGAAGAATTCCACATTCACTTTCAGCCCTGCCAGATCTCTCAAGACACTCTGTACCTTGTTGATGATGATGTCCCGTGAGACCTGGAGAAATGATGCTGGATCTTTATGACGTTGGTTGATGACACATCCAGTCTGGATGTTACCAGCGAAAGCATTCTCCAGGTTCTGCCATTTAACTCCTTGGTTGAGGTCTCCACCAATTACTTGGTTACCGAGTCTGGAGAACTGATCGGCAAACCAGTTAAGTTGGTTGATGTGTGCTTGAACACTTCGTCTCACTTGAATTGTTGTCCCAGGATCCAGTAATATTGTGTTGAAGTACTCAATGGTATCGTTGCACACTCGTGAACACGTTTGATGATGTTCATCAGTAAGCTGCTCTCCCAACAGATCAGCATATGAGGTTGCAATAGTATCCACCAAGTCTTTTAGAGCCTCTATGAGATTATGTTGCGCCATTTTGGAAAGATACGTACTTCACGACTGTCTATTTACACAATATTGTAGGTTATGTACACGTTTTATAGGTTATGTACACTGTTTATAGGTTATATACACTGTTTGTAGATTATATACACTGTTTGTAGGTTATATACACACTAAATTTACATGAGACTATACTTTATACACGCAAAAAAGTTTTTGACACACTGAACTACAGTTTATGCATACAATAGTTTTCGTATACTTTATACTCGCGTACTTCACAACACTGAACTTCACTATATTTTGTAGCACTGAATACTATTGATCACGAGAGATGTTTCACTGGAGACGTATACTTCGTTTTTGTGAAGTTCGCTCTCGGCGAGCTGCTTATATAGGCAGAAAATACTGCGCAGTTACCCCCACTCCTCTACCTCAAAACCGGTTCGATGACGTCATCTGCTGCGCAGTAAGAAAATTCTAGAACAGAATGAGTCATCTACTGCGCAGTTAGAAATAGAACAAAGAAAACTACGCAGTTACGTGACCTTGAACAGGTTCAAACCTGTCTGATGACGTCATCTACTACACAGTTAGAAAATTCTAGAATGGTATGAGTCATCTGATTCGTGGAAATTTCCCCCACTCCTTTCACAAAACAAGTCTAAACCTGTCTGATGACGTCATCTACTACGCAGTTAGAAAATTCTAAAACAGAATAAGTCATCTATTACGCAGTTAGAAAAAGAACAAAGAAAACTATGCAGTTACCGTGACCTTGAACAGGTTCAGACCTGTCAGATGACATCATCTACTGCGCAGTTAGGAATAGAACAAAGAGAACTACGCAGTTACCATAACCTTGAACAGGTTCAAACCTGTCAGATGACGTCATCTACTACGCAGTTAAAAGTAATGCAAGCTGCCACCAGATGGCGCTGCGTAAAATCCTTCTCGCAAGTAGTTGTCATAACTTCATTTTAAATATATAAAACGTGGATATATCATACCCCAAATGCGTAATCCTGAACTATTGATCTGTAATGGCAAGCCTAAAAGCAGGTTAATAGTTGAGGATGCTTTTTTCTAACCTCAAAATGTTGAATTCAGATTCAAAATGGTGGAAATCAGATTCAAAATGGCGGATAGCAGCCACCAGATGGCGGATTTCAGACTCAAAATGGCGGATAGCGGCCACCAGATGTCGGATTTCGGGCTCAAAATGCCGGATTTCAGACTCAAAATGGCGGATAGCGGCCACTAGATGTCGGATTTCGGGCTCAAAATAGCGGATTTCAGATAGCAAATTCAAAATGGCGGATAGCAGCCACGAGATGACGGATTTCGGGCTCAAAATAGCGGATTTCAGATAGCAAATTCAAAATGGCGGATAGGAGCCACGAGATGACGGATTCAAAATGGCGGATTTCAGATAGCAGACTTAAAATGGCAGATAGCGACCACCAGATGGCGGATTTCGGGCTCAAAATGGCGGATTTCAGACTCAAAATGGCGGATAGCGGCCACGAGATGACGGATTCAAATGGCGGATAGATTTAAAAAAATGGCGGGAAAATAGCGGCAGAATTCACCACCAGCGCCACCTACAAGCAAGTCGATAAAAAACCTCGTCCATAACCTCAAAATGCCGGTAAAACATGCCACCCATATCCACGGCAACACATACTGTCGGTAAAACAGGTCGCCCATGTCGACGGACGGTACTTAGCATGGACACGAACCCACAAATCTGTTTTACCGATTGAGTATTACCCCCTGACACACTACTAATTCCGATTACACTGAAATCCGATTGCCTATAATTCTGATAACTTACAATCCCTATCGCATAGATTTCTTATACCTTGACAAAAAAAAGTTAATCTGGATAGATGGCGCCATATGTAACAAAACTTTCATTTCATTTTAAAATTTAAAATTATTTTTATTAAGTGACAATATAATCAGATATGTTCAATTTATATTAATAACGGGAAATATTAATTTAAATAATTCGTTTCTTTATTTTCCTTTTTATTAAACAATTATATTTTAATAAGATTGTCGAATAAGTAATCAATTAAAATAAAAATGAGCTTTAAACGACGATTTTAAGTGGAACTCTAATCATGGACTTAGCGCTATGCGGCGACTGCTGCTGTCATACATGAATGTTTCAGAATGCGCCTTTTGAAAACATGAGGCTTCAATATTTTTTTTAATATCTGTAGCGATTCTCACGCTTTCATCAAGCTATGCTCTGACCCGTTACGCGCATCTGGCTCCACGCCGCCACTCGGGAATCCTGAATCAACAGGACCGCAATTCCTTTGCTCCGAACGTCTGCTGCAACATCATCTATCCCTGCGACTCCAAAGACTCCCAGTCCCACCAGCAAACTTTGCTATTCTTGAAGCCGATTTTCCAGGGAGCAGTCCTACGAAGCACAGCCAGTCGATTCAAGTGTCCCCGACAATTACTTTGTGGCCCGAGCGGCCCCGGGCTAGTTCTGCTGATGAATCTTCGTAGAATCTTTTGGCCCCTAGATCCTACAGAAAATAAAGAAATTCCTGCAAGCATGAACCAGTCACTATAAAAACTCTGAACGTCAAGATTTCCACAAGCTCCTAGTTTCAAGCGTTCAAAAGCTGGGTCGCTGTCCTAAGAAAGACCAGGCATGTAAATGTTCTTCTGCTCATAGGCTGCGTCAGCAAAGCCTAATCATCAGGATAAGCACATTCGTAGCCTTCAACTTCTAGTAAGACTTAGCTGTATCAAATATGAAAAAAATGAGTAGAAAACTATAAATTAGCTATAAGATACAATTAGGAAAAGATTAGGGATTGTAAGTTATCAGAATTATAGGCAATCGGATTTCAGTGTAATCGGAATTATATCCAATCAAATTTCTAGGCAATCGGATTCTAAGTAATCGGGATTCTAGGTAATCGGTAATCTACCCCATAGGAATCCTACGTCATTGATAATTTGGGTAATTGGATTCTGGGTTATGGAAATCTAGGTAATCGGAATCTAAGTCACCGGTAATCTAACTCATTGGTCTGTAGGTAATCGACCTCTTCCCAGAAAAAGAAGCTAATTATTTTTGGTGAACTAAGTGTCGAAAATTTATGTTTTTATGCTGATCGTATATTTGGTTATGATAATTATCTGAAAATTAATTGGTTTCATGAAATGAAATAGTTAGATATCTATGAAATCTACTGAAAATGTTGTTGTTTATAAACTAGAACTTTTTGAAACATGAAACTTCGACCATATCTATTGAGATTTAATAACATTTACTAAAAATTTCCTTACAGCAAACGTCCCTTTAGCAGCGGGAAAAAAGTAATTGCTAGGTATCCAAAACTTAACATTACGTGTAGTAATTTGGTCAACGGATTAAGAATTTTATATACATGTTATTTTTGCTGATTACATAACTTATAAATTGTTCTTATAAGACTGAGAAAACAATTCATTTGAATGAAATGAGGCTCGTTAACTATAAATAAATCCCTTATTTAAATATCACAAGAAATATTTATTTGATACAAATAAATTGATTTATTTGAGACAAAGTTGTAGTATATTTGAATGAAATTCATATTTGTTTATAGTTAACAAATATTTCTTTGGTGGTAACAATCGTATATTTCAACCAAATCAGATTTGTTAACTATAAAGAAATGGTATGTTAGAATATACTCAAAGCAATGATTTTTAGTTTTAGGTTAGGAAAGTTGTAAAAGTGGACATATCGAACGTTTGGGGTAAAATGGGCACTTCTTATGGAATTATTAATTATACTGAAATTAACAATGACAATAAAGTTAGCCGACATTTAAAAATTTTTAGAATTTTTTTTATTGAAAAAAATTTTACAAAAAATTTTTTTTTTAATTTCATTTGTAAAAAATTCGAAAAACTGTAAGTGGAATTGAAAAAAAATATTATTTAGTTCTAATTTAATACTTTAAACAAAATAAAAAAATAAAAAATGTCTACTAACTTTATTATTATAAATTAACAGACATCTGTAAAATTTTTCGACTTTTATAACAATAAAATTATTATGAAAAAATTTTACATGTTAAAATTAATAAAAATTATACGTGAAAATTTTTAGAAGCATTTTCTTATTGTAATTGATTTGTTATTAAAATTTTTAAAATTGACAGCTGACGGCCAACTTCAGTATCATAGTAATCATAGTATTTTTATTAGTATTGTAAGTAATAGTATTATATTTTTTTATGAAAATAAACTAATATTGTTATAAAATATACAAATTTTATATTCAATAACACAATTAAAAATTTTCTGTAAAAAAATTATTACTAAACCCCTGACGGATCCAAAGTGCGATAGAGTACGGTAATGTACGGCAAATTTACGGTAGGGTACGGTAGAGTACGGTACGTACAGTGATTTGCCGTAATACAGTATGACACCGTAAATTACGGTGATTGTACGGCAAAGTAAAGTGATTGTACAGTAATTTACTGTTATTGTACGGTAAGATACCGTGATTGTACGGTAAAATACCGTAATTGTTAGTAAAATATTCCAATTATCTGATAAATAAAGTACTGTTTTTGTACGCTAAATTACCATAATTGTACGGTAATTTACCGTAATTGTACGGTAACTTATCGCTAAAATAAGGTATATTTGACGGTAGGTTACCATTGGAATACGGTAGTGCGGAAAGTTCAGAAGTATATATTCTACCGTATTTTCACCGTACACTACCGTAGTTGCCGTAATTTTACCGTTCTATACCGTATTTTCACCGTTTTTTACTGTACGTTACGGTGTTTTACGGTTTCTACTGTGCAAGTAGAATGCTACTGTAATCTACGGTGGCCATACGGTATATTGACCTATTTTTACCGTATAATACCGTAATTTTACGGTATTTCAGATCCGCCAGGGACGACACGGATTTTAGGTTAAGAAATTTGTTTTTTCGTTCCAATAACTGCATGAAATATAAAAAAAAATTTAATGAAAAAAAAGTCATGACCGGAAAAAATAAAATTTCTTTAAGATCAATAGGTAAATTAATATTATAATAAAATAAATATAAAAGAAACAGTGGTTGGTCACAAAAAAGTCAAATGTAAACAATACACTCTTACATTCAAAAATAGCGACACCAAGCGTAATTTACTTGAAGCGAGGTTTGTTAATAGTTAACAAATCTTTATTTGAATGAAATAAATGAGTCGATTCAATTAAATAAACCAAAACGAAGTAGTATTTGACTTAAAGTAATATATATTTAAATAAAAGAAATTTGTTAACATTAAATAAATATTTTTGATTCATTTCAAATAAATCTGTGCATTTGAGTCAAACAAATCGTTTTCTCAGTGGGAATATATTGCGGGATCGCGGGAATGTATCTGATTAAAATGAATGCATTTTCCAAACACTGGGTATGTGAAAAATAAATTTGGTTACTTATTTAAATAGAATTCGTAAAAAACATGTTAAATTTATTTCCTATAAAATATTGATGTCACTGAGAAAATTTTTAATAACAAATAAATTCTTCGCAATTGAAGCTAGACAGATTTCAACTTTACTTATGCGACTTGCAATGACTTTAACTAAACTTTCAATACTCATTTGGAATCTGTGCAAATCAAAACAATACTCCAATTAAATTTCAAGTCTACCCTAACGGTATTGATGACCCCGTGCTAACTCGGATGAAACACGGAGTTTCTGCAGAGTATACTCCGTCATAGAGTTTTCTCGGGATACCGACGGAGTTTAGGCGGTGTTTTAGCGGAGGGAACGTGGAGTATTGTGTGCAGTTACGACACGAGATTTTGACGGCGTTCTGTCAGGTTTTTCTCGGAGTATTGAAAGTGTTTTAATGGAGTATTGAAAGTGTTTTAATGGAGTATTCACGGAATATTGTCGGTGTTCTCACGGAGTATCTACTGAGAACTCATGAAGTATTGATGGAGTTTTCACGGAGTATTCGCGGAGTATCGTCAGTGTTTTCGTGGAGTATGCACGGACTATCACCAGTGTTCTAGTGGAGTATTCGTGGAATTTTTTTGGTGTTATCGCAGGATTTCATTGGAGTTTTGTCGGTGTTTTCGGGACGTGTTTCTGATGAAATTTCATTCAAGTATTCGCGGAGTATACACGGAGAATTACCAGTATTCTATCAGAATTTTCCTATAGTATTCTCAAAGAGTTTTTATTGAAAAAATGACTAATTTATTTTAATTCTTAGTTATATGTAATAGATATTAATAAATAATTGATCAAACGTTGAGAAGAAAGTTTAAAAGCTATACTGACACGCATAAGCATTATACTTATAATTTATCTTGACATGCCGTAGAATATAAATTTCTAGTTTATAGTATTGCGATAGGACTTAATCATTTTTTCAGTGATTATGTCAACTTAATCTAAATAAAACAAACAAGCTCTAAACTCATACGTATTCGACTTGGATTAGTTAATAACGTGCCGGACTTCCAGTTACAAAGTACTATGTTCGAATCCCATTGTGACCAGTATTTTTTTTTATTAAATATTAATAATATAATTTGAGAGATGATTAAAAAACAATGTACATTAATTATTTCGTCATTACTTTTTATTCTCTTAATTACTCGTTGGAAAAAAATACCAACAATACTCCGTGGATACTCCGTAAAAACATCAGCAATACTTCGTAGATACTCCGTGAGAACTCCTGCAATACTCCGTAGATACCCTACGAAAACACCGAAGATACTCCGTGAGAAAACCAGCAGTACTCCGTGAAAACTCCGTTAAAACACGTGTAATACTCGATAAAAACTCCGATAAAATTCCATCGAAATTTCGTGTTGCAACTGCATACGAAACTCCGCGTTTCCGTCGCTACAACGCTGCTTAAACTCCATCGATACTCCGAGTATCAGCCGAGTTTACTTGGAGTTTTGATGGTGATGCTTAATCCGCTAGGGTAGATCTAAAAATGCAATTCTATAAAGCGCCCAGCGAAGCGGGCGGGTAACAGCTAGTATATATATATAGACATAGTGACACCCTCGCGAGAATAGTCAGGGAAGCTTCCTAGGACCTCAAAACGTCGAGATCTGATGAAAACTCGATTTTCGAAAAACGGGGTTAAACCAATAACTTCCCGATTTTTTAAAATTTTCAATTTTCTCAGCGGGAATTTAAAAATTAATAAATTCAAACGGTTCATATTTCAATAACTCTTGAGTTAAGAAATTCATTTCTACATAAAAATTTTTTTTTCTCGCATTGTATTGAATCCCGATGAGAAATTATATGAGAATCTATGCAAAAACACCACATGGGATTATAAGCGCCTTTCTTATGGTTTTTTCAGACACCTTTTCACTATCATCAACAGGTTAAACTTTTTTCATTTCAAGAACAAAACGTACAATTCAAACTAAGAGAGATGATTCAAAGTTACTTAACTTAGTAAGTTAATTAGCAAAGGACTCGAGTAATTATACAACGATTTTTATGCTAAATACATTTTTTTTAGACGATCACTTCTGATGAATTCAGCAATAGATAAAATCGATAATACAGATAAGAGATTTTTACCGTTTTAAAATTTTCAAAACAAAAAACTATTCTCTAGCGACTTCATTTTAAAATGATTTTTGAATAAAAAGAAATTAATTGTAGTTAAATTCATGGTCGAAACTACTCTTTATTCTTCGATTATTAATATTTATTTCACGTACTTTAGAAGGATTCGAAAGAATTATTTTTTACATTAGGATATTTTGTTTGAGTATTCAGTGGTAAATTTTATATTACTAATTATATGATCATAAAATATGATTAAGATTAGTTTAAATAATAACAAAAAATAATCTTTATTATGCACAATAATCCACATATTATACTTTAAAATTAATTAATATTTTATGATATATCTCCTAGTTACACAGTAATTAGTTTTCCTGAGCACCATAGACAAGGATGAAAGTTTTGCTCTAAAGTACATGGATCTTGACAGTCTGTGATATGTTTCATTAAATCAATTATTTTCTCTGTAGTCTCTGATTTTTTACTTAACATTAGTTGATCCAGATGTTTAGCTTCCAATTTTTCTGTGACAGCATTAAGTTTATCTATAAAGGAGGATAAAAAATCTAATTACTGCTAAAAAATGTAATCGAGATATAATTGATGAAACGTTTCTAACTTTTATGGTGTGGGTCTGAGAATTCCATGTTATTTTGATGAGAAGATGAAGGAGCATTATTGGCTTTTAGCAAATCAGTTAATAGAACTTTTAACTGGTAAAGTTGTGCATGCTGTTGATTATACTGTTCAATCAAGTGGCGGAATGTTCTTTCGGTTTCTTGGGCTTTTCTTTGAAGAGTAGAACGTTGCCTATGATATAAAGTGATGTACTCGCCTATAACAAAGTAATGATATAAAAATACAATTAATTTGTTTCAAATTTTTACCATTATTTTTTCTAAAGTTTTGAATGAAGAAATTTTTTATACAAATTAATCATTCTTTAAGAAGATTTTCAAGCCAAAAAATAGAGAATGAATGATGGTTAAATAATATGAATACAATAAAATCTGAAAATGATATTGAGATATTGGTAGTATTATTATTTATAATTATTAAAATGTTTATTGCGTCAATTGAATGGTATGAATTGATTGGAAATTTTTTAATAGTTGTATGTTAATGCGTGGAATAATAATGAAAATCCTTTCTTGTTAATTGCATAAGGAACAAAAATAGGAAACTTTAATTTACATTCATAATTATTTTCCTGATCTTAAAGCAAAAGCAAACGTATTTAATACACAATTTGAAGCGCACTCTTTACTTAGAGTTAATTGTACGTTTTTTTATTATACCGATGATCAAAATTTTGAATTTATCACCATTATCTTTTTTGGAAGATTGGTGTATAAACTAGAGTTGAGATTAAAACGTCATGTACAGACGCACTAAAAAAAATTAGGAAAACGGTTAACCCTAAAGGCCATCCCTGCAACTTCCCGCTAACTCCATTTCTAAACGCTCAACATTTCTTTTTTTGTTTTTGAGCTCTTCGAGATCAAAAATATACTTTTTGTGTTATTTTGAGCTCTCCGAGCTCAAAGAGATAGCTGTTCTATGCTTTTGAGCTCTTCGAGCTCAAAAGTCTAATAGGAGTTTCATAAAACACTATTTTATGAATTTTCAAACTGCAATAACTTTTGGATGAATTAACCGATTTTCTCGCGGCTTACGGCATTCAACGCAGTTTTCTGAGCTATTTAGAGGATTTCAAAGCACAAACTCCTCAGACTTTTAAGTTCATAGAAATTCTGAAAAAAACTTTTTTTTCGACGATATCTTACGAACGTATCAACCGATTTTGGCCAAGCTGGTGGCAATCGACGTAGTTTTTCAAGGTTAAGAGCTGACTAGTTTTTGGAATCGATCGGTAAAACCGTTAAAAAGTTATTCCAAAAAAACCTTTTTTTGAAAATTTTATTTTTTTAGATTTCTCAAAATCTAGCGAACCTAATCGATTCAAATTCTCACGCAATTTAATGGCAATGATACTCTTTGGATCGCCACCTATCTCGACCAATTGGTCGAGCCGTTCAAAAGTTATAAGAGGTTTACACACACACACACACACACACACACACACACACACACACACACACACAGCGGCAGAGGAGAAACTGTTACCAGGCGCGTCTCCCCGTAGCGGATGGGTTGACACTCGCTGTCTTTGGATGACACTAGGTCTCTTAGTTGATGAGGCACAGAGGGTAGGAGTTAAATAAAATATGCTCCCGTGGACAAAACTCCCCTTCAATGGGTTGGTCACACTAACTGACCTAACAAGATGATCGTTCCCTGCTGTAACTCACTGGGAGTGTCCGGAACCCGTGTCGATTATTTCCGACGATGCAGGCTACGGCTGATGTGAGCTTGCTCTGCCGAGGTGTAAGTTGCAGTTGCGGATCAGGGGCCAGCCACTTCGGCCTTGATCAGGAAGTACGCAGTGAGTGTTAGAGATCGGAATCTTCACCACCCCGAGCGAGTCTAGTCCGTCCGTGTATTCCGGGACTGGCTAAGTGTCGGCTAGGCCTCAGGGAACTGGGGTAGGAGTACTATCTCCGAGGGTACACCCGTTCCTAGTTATGACAACCCGTTCCACTCCGTACGATGCGCTGGTAAACCAAAAAAGTATGAGTAATTTACAGGAAATAAACAAGAGTGGAAACGGGCTTCATGCCCAACAAGCAGCGATTGACGCAAGCGCTGAAATGAAGCGGTCACAAGCGCTCGAACGCCTTAAAAAACTGACCAGTGAGTTAAATGATTTCGTTCAATCAAAGGTCAACATTCACAAGGAGATAAAGTCCAAGACGACTAGTGTAGCTAATCCCCTACAAAGGTTTGAGAAACTGGACGAAGAATGGCGCTCATCATTGCAGCGGATTTCCCGTGTTACACCGGAGAAAACCTGTGAAGCTGATGTCGTGACCGACGAAGCAATGGACACCGGAGCCGAAGGTGACGGTGAATCAGTCGCTGAAGACAGGCGCGAAACTCTCGGCAAGCCTGGTAAGAGAAAAGAAAGAACCTCTCCAGACCCAGCATACAGCCAAGCAACAAAGAAGAAGGGCCTGAAGAAAAGCCCTCTGCAAAGAGCAGCACTGCCAAGCGACGAACTGATGAAAGCGTCAGCTTGGCAATCAGTTCAGTCTAAAAAAGAACAGAAGAGGCAAAGGAAAGAGCAGCTCCCAAAGCAACCGTCGAAAGAGCCCCGGCCGGAACCTAAGCGGAAGAAACCTCGAAAGTGGATCAGGCCTGACGCTCTGATCATCCGTCCGGTCGAGAAGGAGAAGTACGCCGAAACATTGCGTCGTATAAAGTAGGCCGTCCCTGACGAACAGGTCCGCACAACCGTGGAAAAGATCCACAAAACCAAAACTAGGGACATGCTGATTACGCTCTCAAAGAAGAGTATTGACAAAGGCCAAGCCTTGCAAAAGGCCATCACGGACATTCTTCAAAAACAGGCTGAAGTAATTTGCAAAGAACCGCAGGAGATCATCGAAATCCGAGACATTGATGATGACACGACGAAGGAGCACATTCAAACTGCCCTGAAAACGGAAACCGGAGAAACTTGCGAAATACCACTAGAAGTTATCAAGATTCGTAAGGCCTACAAAGGTACGCAAACGGCTACAGTGACACTACCAGCAGCTGCAGCACAACAGCTACTGGAAAGAAACGGCAAAATAAGGATTGGCTGGGTCAACTGCCGAATGAGAGCAACAAAGAGGCCGATACAATGCTTCAAATGCTGGCACTTTGGATCTCAGTGTAAAAGTGAAATCGACCGATCTAAGCACTGCATAAGGTGCGGAAGAGAAGGACACAAGATTGCTGAGTGCAAAAATCCAGCCAAATGTGTATTATGTGCTGACGATCAAAGTGCGCAGGACGCTGCCCACCATGCTGGCACATACAGATGCCCGGTTTTCAAAGAGGCGCTCGAGAAAATGACAAATAAAGGAGCATCAAGATACTGCAGCTCAACCTCAATCATTGTGAGGCTGCGCATGAGTTGCTCATACAAACCGTGCGCGAACTAGAGCTAGACTTAGTACTGATAGCAGAACCATATAAACATCTGAGTACCCAACCCTGGGAATCGGACAGTACCAACAAAGCTGTCATTTGGTCCTGTGACAAATTACCATTCCAGAAGGCAGTCAACAACAGAGAAGCCGGATTTGTAGCAGCATGGGTAGACGGAATCCGTTTCTACAGCTGCTATGCCCCGCCGAGTCTTTCTTTGGAACAATTTATCGATTTTCTTGATCGTCTAACCGAAGATGCAAGGCAACACTTTCCCGTAGCAATAACAGGTGACTTCAATTCCTGGGCAGTAAACTCCCCAAGGGGAAGCAAGTTCACCAATGCACGAGGAAAGGCTCTACTTGAAGCGATGGCCACACTAGATGTTGTCCTCCTTAACACTGATGAGACACCAACATATTCAAAAGGAGAAGCAAGCTCTATAGTGGATCTTACGTTCGTCAGCAGCAGTCTTACGAGAGGAAGCTATTCTTGGGTAGTTATGAACACCTACACTGCCAGCGACCACTACGCCGTCCTTTGGGAAGTATCAACTGGCCAGAACCCTCGAAGAGCAACCAGACAAACTAACGCAGTTGGATGGAAAGTGAAAGCTTCTGACCTAGCTACTTTAATAATAGCCTTAGATAGCGACCCGACTACCACAGGGAGTGCTGAAGAGAAAGCAAAAGAACTAATGAAGAGAGTGACCCAAGCCTGCGACGCTTGTATGCCCCGGAAACGTGGCATGAATCATCGATCTTCGGTACACTGGTGGAACGATAACATCAGCGTTCTTCGTAAAGAGTGTTTTAAAAGAAGAAGAATATCTTAGCGTGGCTACCGTCGACCTAACTCTGCAGAACTGGTGGCAGAGTACAAAAAGGCCCGTCGAGAATTGAATAGAGCCATCAAGGATAGCAAAAGACGCTGTTGGAAGGAACTCGTCGAAGAGGTAGAGAAAAATCTGTGAGGCAGACCGTACAAGGTGGTCATGACCCACCTGAAATGTCAACCAATACCGTCACCTACATGTCCACAGCTACTAGAGAAAATCGTCTGTACGTTGTTTCCTCAGCAACGTGAGTTGATCTATTCATCACTGCAGCCTGACCCTGAAGACATCCCACCTGTCACAGAGGAGGAATTGATGGAGGCATGCAATCGTGTAGAGAATAATAAGGCGCTGGGATTGGATGGATTTCCAAACATTGCTTTAAAAACATCTATTAAAGCAGCGCCGGCATTATTCATAGATACCTACAATGCGTGTCCCAAGGAAGGAGTCTTTCCTGAAAGGTGGAAGCGGCAAAGATTTGTACTGCTCCCGAAAGGAAAAAAGCCACCTGACGAACCATCATCTTACCGTCCACTCTGTATGTTAGACACGGCGGGTAAGATATTAGAGCGGATAATTCACCAAAGAATAGAAGCAGTAGTTGATCCACTCCTGGCAGACAACCAATTTGGTTTCCGAAAAGGACGGTCAACCCTGGATGCAATCAACCTGGTCGTCAACACAGCTAAGGTTGCGATTGCTGGAAAGAGATGGAATCGCGGCACAAAAAAGTATTGCTTGGTGGCTGCATTAGACATCAAAAATGCTTTCAACTCTGCTAACTGGGACTGCGTAATGCGCGCCCTCGAAGAGAAACAAGTTCCAGGGTATTTGCGTAAAATAGTAGCAAGCTACTTCACAAACAGAGTCCTCAAATATGACACAAAAAGTGGTCCTAAGGAGTATGATATTACTGGTGGTGTACCACATGGCTCAGTTCTAGGTCCTCTGCTATGGAACATCATGTATCATGGTCTCCTGAAAATAGCATTGCCAGCAGAAGTGAAACTGGTAGCATATGCAGATGATGTTGCCGTGGTGATTGTCGCGAAGCATCTTGAAAAGATAAATCTGGCCTTCGACATTACATTTAGACGGATTAACTTATGGATGGATACGGTGAACTTGCAATTAGCTAAGCATAAAACCGAAGCAGTGCTCATTACCAGCAGGAAAGCGATGGAAACCATCAAGTTACAAGTTCGAGAACATGAGATCACATCACAACCGTACATTCGGTACCTGGGAGTGATGCTTGATGCTCGACTCAATTTCAAGCAACAAGTCGAACATGTGACTGCCAAAACATCAGTAGTTAGAGCGAGCCTATCACGACTGATGCCTAACGTTGGTGGACCAAAGCAGAGCAGAAGACTACTGCTGTCATCAGTAGTAACATCCGTGCTCACATATGGTATATCCATTTGGGCTGACGCATTAGAGACGCAAGAATCATGGAGAAAAGCGGGTCTAATTTATAGACAGAGTGCTTTGAGAGTTGCCAGTGCCTTCCGCACAATATCAGAAGAAGCAGTGTGCGTCATTGCCGGAACCCTACCGCTTAGAGTACTAGTAGAGGAAAGACGGTCCCTTTACCAACGAAAAAGATCAACTGCACTGAGCCCTGAAGAACTTAGAACAGAAGAACGGCAGCACAGCATCTCGCGATGGCAACTTGAGTGGGACGCTGCAGCACAAGGAAGATGGACACACCGCCTCATACCAAAGATTGATGTTTGGCTGAGCCGAAACCATGGCGAAGTCAACTATTACCTAACGCAGATGTTGTCAGGATATGGGTGCTTTCGAGAGTACGTGCACCGCTTTAAGCACGACGATTCTCCGGAGTGCCCGTCTTGTCCAGGGGTTATTGAGGACGCAGGGCACGTTTTCTTTGTGTGTCCACGTTTTCATCCTCAGCGAAATGAGTTAGAAAGGATCCTGAACCGGAGAATCCAACCAGAGACAATAGTTGAGCCAATGTTGTCGACTCAAACTGTTTGGAACGCTACAAGCACTTTGCCACAGAAGTCCTTACAGAGCTGCGTTCCATTGAAAGAAAAAGAGCAAATGACAGAAACTAGAAGGAAGGAAAAATAACACCTTAGCCACCAGAAGGAAGAGCAGTAGCTAGATCCTCCCTTCACGAAGTAATGCCTGACGGCGGTTTCCATGAGGGATTAGAGGAAAGAAGGAAAAAGGGGTTTAGGTTTTAGTGGGTAGGGGCGTTAGCGTCGAGTTTTAGTGTGACGCTGCGTCGAGTCGCCACATATCCAAGCCAAACAGCTATGCCTGGAATCCATTAAAAGGATCCCCCCCCCCCAAGAAAAAAAAACACACACACAGAAACCATCGCGGGAATAGTCAGGAAAGCTTCGTAAGAGCTCAAAACGTCGAGACCTGATGAAAACTCGATTTTTGAAAAACGGGGTAAAAACAATAACTTCCCGATTTTCGGGAATTTTTAATTTTCTTAGCGGGAAATTAAAAATTATATTAAATTATTTACCTATAGTTTCAGTTTCCCCTTGAAGTTGTAAAACTAAGTGTTCTAAACGTTGTTTTTCATCAGTTAACTCTGCTACTTTTTCCATCAGATCTTTAAATCTTGTTTCTAGTTTTTTTCTTGGCTCAGTAATCAAATCGTGCGCATAAGTATGTGTTTCTCTAGATTCTCCAAAATTTTTGTTATTTTTTTCGGTCGTTAACAAATAGTTATTATCTTCTTTTATTGGTTCACCATTTTGAATTTGTAAATCATTATTAACTGTTATTGCGAAAGTTTCACTGTCAAAGTTCAACTTCTGATTCGTAATTTCACACATTTCTTTTGAATCTAAAGTATGTTGGCTTTTTTCACTCGAATTGATCAAATCACATGATTGTGTTCGATCATTTTCTTTATAAACGTTCAACTTTATTTGAGATTTTTCAATTTCCATCGTGTTTATTATAGTTATCTTTTTATCTAACTCATTTTGTAACTGTTCATTTTTGGAGATTAATGAATTCAATTGTGATATTAATTCTTCATTTACTTTTAATTCATAGTGTAACTGTTGAGTCAGATCCACTTTCGTACTACTAAGTGTGGAAAATGCATCCTGCATTTCACTCAATTGCTTTTTAAGTTGTTGATTTTGGGAAATAGCCCTAGATGCACCTAGTTGTTCGCTTTCTAATGCTGACGCTAATTTTGAAATTTCAATATTTTGAATTTTTAGTTCTTGTAGTTCTGTTATCTCTTTTTTCAGTAGTTCTATCTCTATTTCTTTTTCACTTAAAGTGTTTGTAAGGCATTCCTGGGTTTGCAAGAAAGAATTCATTTTTTCAGTGAAATATTCATCATGAATCTTATTTGTTTCTTGAGAAAGAAATGATTCGACTTTCTGTGTTTCTTGATGACATAGTTTTTTTAAATTCTCTTCACGTTCTTTTAAATTTTCAATTATGGTCTGTGACTTTAGTAAATCTTTACTCATGATTTCACATTTATTAAGTAATTGTTTAACATAGTTCTCGTAGTGATTAAAAATTTCTAATTTTTCTGCATTGAAGGTTTTCAGGTGTTCATGTAACTTTGATGATTCTTCTTCAACCATTGTATGAATTTGATTTTGATCTTCGAGTAAATTAGTGTGTTGCGATTTATTTGTTAATTGTTGAAGTTTAAGCTCTGCTAATACCAATATTTTGTTATTCTCTTGAACTTCTTGAGAGAGTCTTTCCAGGTCAATATTTTTTAAATTCAAATTTTGTTGTAATTCCGCAATTTCTAGCTTCTGCTCTTTATTACACTGTTCTAATTCATTACATTTATTATCAAGTTTTTTATGATTATATTGCAAAAGTTTATGTGACTCTTCTATTTCAGAAACAAGTCGTTGCATTTGTAATAAGTTGTTTTGTAATTCGTTGCAACGATGTTCACTTGAATTAAATTCTCGATTTAATTCTTTAATAATTTGATTTTTGTTTTCTATTAATATTTGATAGTGAGAAACTAATTTATTAAGATCCGCCTTCTCTGTAATGAGAATATTTGTAGTTTGCGAATACATTTGAACTTGTTTTTTTAGATGTTTAATTTCTTCAATACATTTTTGATTTAATTTGTTGCTTTGTGTAAGAGCTAAATTTTCTAAATTAGATATTTTACTTTGGGATTGATTGAGTTGAAAATTTAGTTCATTTAATATCGGTACATCTTCTGACAATACTTGATTTCCTTGTTTAGAGTCACAATTTATTTCAAGTGAGTTTGTAGTAATTTTATTATCAAGTAAAATATCAAAAATATGTTTTGATGACACTCTATTCCAACTACCGAGTGGCTATTCTAGGAATGGCTGTAACTCGAAAACTATTTGAGATAAAAATTCGATTAAAAATTTTTATTATTTTGAGTTTTACTTGTATACCGTTTTCTGGTTTTTACAAGGTTACTTTCCGTTCTATATTGTCTCCGCAATTTTTTCAACCCTGTTTATTAACAACATATTCTCCACTCTTTTTTATTATCAGCATGTTCTCCACTTTTTATTATCAACATGTTCTCCGCTTTTTTATAATCAACATATAATTTTTCGCTCACATATAATTTCATTCCAATGCGGCTGTGGACCGACTTGTGCTTTCTGTACTGTATTCACCCTTTTCCTCACCTTTTTCTAATGGTTGTTGGAATAGTGGCGATGGGGAAACCACAGAGAAAACCCATGCCAGTACAGTCGGCTACCGGAGCGATCTCCGACGGTTGGTATTGGAACTATTTGAATAACCGTCGGGGATCGAACCCTCGCCTCACGACAAGATACACGAACGAACTAATGGGATAATGACTTAGTCCGCTCGGCCATCATGCCGCTTTCGATTAAAAATTTTAGTATGTTATTTTTAAAGGTATAACCTATCGAAATATGAAACAAAAAAATCGATTTTTTTTTTAATTTCACACTAGGTGTGCCCCTTGAGGCCGTGTATAGTAACTATAATGAAAGAAATTCAGCATTATTCCTATATACACTTCTCGCAAAAATTAAGGGAACAAAAAAATTTTCGAAATTTTTTGGCGATTTTCAACAGGCTGTATTTCAGTGAAAAATGGTCGTACAGAAAATAAAAAAACAAAGCTTTTGAAGCTTGAAGACTCTAATTTTCATATTTTTTGGTTAAAAATTTTTCGGAGCACTGGTAGCCATGCAATCCTTGGATAAAGCACGAAGAAAAAATTTTCCAAATTTTTTACATTTTTTTTTTCGCTCTACGGGCATGGGAACATTTTTTCGAGCTAGACCAATGCATAGGTCGCATAGCCTGCTTATTCAGCTTCAATTTGCTTTTTGCGGGACCCGGATGCGACCATTTGTCTTCGAGATATCGAATTTTGAATGCAAAAGGATCCTTTTTCACTCAACTGCCGATATCTCTGGAACTACTGGTCGCCCAGCAAGCGGTTAAGGGGTTTCGTTTTTTGCAAAAAATTTTCTACAAATTCTGTCATGGTTAATTTAAAAAAAAATGTTTTTCCACCTGTAACGTTAACGTAAAAAAAGAGCAAAAAAATGCCATTTTCCCTTTTTTTGGTTAATCGATTGTATCTTCGTCAATATTGGGAGGAAGGCTTAAGTCAGAGGAAAATTCTTTAGCCCAACGTACCCCGAAGAACCCCCTAAATTTTTAGATCGATCGGTTAACTTTTTGGGAGATTTTATTTAACAAGAAGTCAGAAATTTATAATTGTCAACTTAAATTCAACAAAACATTAACAAAAAAAAATTTGTGCCGCTTGGGTACTTACAATTTCGTTTTTCTCATTTTACTGAATCATTTGAAAAAAATGAAAAAATTTTTAGTCAGTTATTTCTCGCGAAAATATGACATTAACTTTTATTTAAATTAATTCTGTTAGATGACAGGTATTTCCCAAGCGTCATAAAAAAAAATTTTGACTTTTTGATAGATTTCACTCAATAAGAAGTTAAAAAATTAATAATCGTCAACTTAAATTCAACAAAACATTAACAAAAAAAAATTTGTGCCTTGGGTTGTGATCGTCACATTATTCAATACTGAGTAAACTTGTATCCAGCCAATCATTGAAGTAAAGAATAACAAACTCACGACTCCTGATGGTACAGTCACTTTCATGAATGCTGAAGTCTTTTGTTTTTTTCAAGTCTGTTAACTATCTTGACTTTTTTATGCTCGTAGCCGAGAAAGTAATGAATACAATACAGAAAAATTGAAAAAGTAATGAGAACAATACAAATGGACTGTTGTACTCCATTTTGTTATGCTTCCATCTAGTGGATGTTATTTTTATTTATTTAAAACTTTACTTACTGTAGTTCTTTCGCCCGGGAGTATTAAAATACTCGGTTTCAGTGCGGGAAAGGAATAATTTTAAATAAAAGAATTCTATTTAGACGTAATTTAATTTTGATCAAAATTATTTAGTTGGTTCCAATTTATTATTCGAGTTGACAAAATATTAAAAGCTTCAAAATATAAAATTGAGGTTTACAATGACGTGATCTTAGCAATCTAATCTCTCGATGAGAAGTGTCGTTACATAGTTTTTCCGAAGATCTTCAAACTCCGTTCTTCTCCCACCATAACTTCCACACATACATCCACTCTAAGGAATAATGTATAATGATCCTTATACACTAACATGTATTTTCTCTATATCTATATATATTTACTTCAGCCTATCGGCCTGAAAGTTGGACTTCACTTATATATACTTTTAGCAATACAGTCATTATGTTTATTCAACTATTCTTATTAATTTAACAAACCCTTTTTAAAATCTATTTATAATAAAATTAACTTATAATTAACTTGAAATTAAGTTACAATAAAATTATAATAAACTATAACATGAAACTATATATATTATATTATTTATAATATGTTGGACTAATGTTTGAGTTTGAATAATTAATAATTTGGATTAAATATTATTTCTATCATTTTACATTCGAGTTTTCTAATAAAATTATAAGTCAGTTTAATTATTATCCTGTATAAAAGAATAGATATTATTATTTAATTATAAATTAAATAATAATTAGATAATGATTTAATAGTAAATTAGTTAACTAATAATTATTAGTTATAAATTAAATATAAGATACTAATTATTAATTATTTTAACTCAATTTTGCTTAACTACAATATTATATAAAGTTAGATTTTAACAGTAAATGTTATTTAACAATATTATTTTTGTTTAGTTACATATGTTTTTTTTTTATTATTCTTTGTTACTTTAGAACAAGGGTCTATTGAATTTCACACGTGTCTTTTACGACTTTTCCTCATAGGGTTTTAAGTTTCATCTTGCGAGAAAGTCCTTGAATTACTCAAGTACTTTTTATGGGTTTTGAAAATTCGGTTACAATGTACCTTTGTACCGAAATATGTTTTTTTTTTATTTTATTTTATTTTCTTTTGTAAATAAAACAGAGTTAACCAAAAGATGTTTATTTTACAACTGGTAAGAGTAAAAGCATTAAATAAAGGACTGGAATATTAACTAATTTTAATCATTTAATATTTACTAGTTTGAATATTTCGTTTGAATTCGCGCTCTCATAATAGATAGCGCTCTAATAACAGGTAGCGTCACCTGTTGGATGCACTAGGTGCATCACAATTTGAAAAAATAGGGAACTCGAGCACTGATGAAAATGAGTGTACTAAAATCAAAATGAACAACAATGAGCGTTTTACGTCAAATCATAAAAAACTTTATAAGTAGAAATTAATTAAATTACGAAATTTATTACTATTATTTATATTTAATCTATTTTATCTTCTTATTTTAAAATTAAAAGCGAATGGTGAGATTCTATATCACGACAATCCTTTTTTAGAAAAAAAAATTAGAAACAAAATTCAAAATTATTCAATTTGACTACTATATAGATATACACTTTGCATGGATTTAATCATTTAAAATTTTTTTTCTTAACAAGGGAACTTATAGATTACATACGATTACTTTACATAATGATATCAGAAAATTCTAATTCTAATTGAATTTCATGTTAAATCAGCACATTTTCGGCGAAAGTGACCTCTTCTGATTTGGATGAAATTTCATCTGCATATTTTCTCTATAGTCTACAATACAATAAATTTGGATCTTAAACTTTGTTTGAGCTTAAATTATTTATTTTAACTGCCTAATGTTATTAATAAATATTTTCTCTAATCTTTGTATTTAAAAGTGGGTATTGTTAAATGTATTAATAGAAATTTTCTTTCGTTTAATTACTGTTATGATCTAGAAGCTAGCAAACGTCTGACCCTTTTTGAATTAATTTTAATAGATAAATTAGTACTAAAAAAATAGTTTTTTTTTTAAGCATGAGTAGTTTTTTAAAATTTCTTCAAGTTCAATTTTTATTTCATTTTCTTTGTAATCATTTATTTATTAAAAAAAATTCCTAAAATTTTTCAGATGTTGGATGACACGCAAAATCGTGAAGCGTTCCACATTTTTATCAAATATAAATAATGCTGTGAAGCGGGAAAGAATAGGAGTTACGGATAATTATTACGTGAAGCGTTCCAACATTCACGTAACAGGATAATTGGTAGGAAAGGATTGAGAAAGGATTGTGGAGAGGATCATCTTAATGTGAGTTTATAGAATATGCGAGAAAAAATTATTAGATAGCTCGGACTGGGATTCGAACCCAGAACCTTCCGAAGACATGTCGGCTACTCTACGATTTGAGCTATCCGGTCTATACTAAATTTCCTTTCACTTATTCTATATACATTAAGCCACACCGTCCATCTTACGGCTAGCATTTTTAACAAATATAGATGTCTATTAATTATTAGGTTTTATACTTTTTGACGGAATTTTTAAATGAAATAATATAGAACTTCCGTCATAGTTACGATTTATTCTTTCTAGAAAACTTGACATTCGATTCTTGAAATTATTTGAGACGCAGTTAGGAATCATCAACTAGATGATAGATTCCAAACATGAGAATTCATCGTGGGCTTTTATCTTTAAGTCAAGTTTTAGTTAAAATTTGAACTCTATCAGTGAGCATAAGTTACCATACTCTTAAACGGTTATAGCAAAGAATTATCTAAAATTACGTAATAATTTTCAGAATTTTCATTTTTTTAATTGTACCTTAAATGAATTTGGGAATCATATAGTATTAAATTTTTGAGAAAGTTTGTTGTAAGCTTTATATCATTTTGGCTATAACATTCTTCAAAAATTATTTAGAAAATAAAAATTTCTATAAATAGAGTTAGTAAGTTGGTGATAGTCAGCCTTGAAATTAGAAACTTTTACCGCGCCAAACGTTTTATCTATTCGACAAGACACGGCGCTGGAAAAAACCGACAATTACACGATTGTAAAATATATACTTGTATACAGTTGTTGTCATAACTACTGAACCCCTCAACTACAGTAAAGTCAAACGGAGTCCAACATTTATAACAAAGAGTGTACATTGTACCAGCCCTATACTTTTTTTGGGATGACTATAAAATTGTGTGCAACGTGTACGGATGTTTGTCATGAAAACGTTTCAGAAATTTTGTCATTGTAAGGTTATGAATGTGTATCTATTCTTTTTTAATTTTCTACTATTTATCATGTTGTCACTTTACTATAAACATTGATACATAAATTGGTTAAACAATGTGACAAAATAGATAAAGTTTTAATTATTTATAACTAGACCGCTATTTGTTAAATTATATGTAAGTGCATTTAATATTTATATTTATTTTCTGGTTGTATTGTATTTTTGACGTTAACTAATTTAATTCCCGAAGTAAAAACTAATTAGCGTACTGTGTTAGATATTATAAAATAAAAAAAAAAACAAATAGTTGGTTATTTTAAATATACTGGTAGATAATTTTATAGCTGTCACAACAATTTGATAAATCCCTTTCAAGTGATTATTGTAAAAATTAGAACAAAAAAAAAATATAAAGAATATATGTTACAAAAGTCAAAATACATTTGATGAAAAAAAATTTCATGTAGAAATTAACAAAATTATGCCGTGATTATTTAAATATATTTTTTTAGTCCTTCCTTGTTTTATAATAACATAAAAATATTATCAGGTGTTTGCCGATTTCAGAATCATGAAAATGTTTATTTTCATGTCGTGAATTACATGAAGTAGAACATTTTTTAAATTATCTTATTATTTGTACTAATTATTAGTGTTGAAAGAATTCTTACGTAAAAAATCCGACTGTTTGGAGCATATACGTTTCTCGTTGAAGATCGCTTATTATTTGTACTACTTACTTTCTTACTTTCAAGTTTTTGTTTTCGGCCCAATTTTCAAATCGTATTTGTGTGTCCGGCAGGTGTGTAACTCTTGAATAATACATGTAAAATTTTTTTAAATACAGACTACTAATCGGATTAATTGAAAAACTTTGTTGATTACAAAATAAAAAAATTACATTTTTTTTAATTTATCTTCAATAATTCATAATTTAGAAATAATCATTTTCAAATCCAGATTAGTTAAGATTTAGATAAGTTAGGAATTCATAATTGCTGTAGTTGACCTCGGTATTCCATCAAATTTTGAAGTTTGTTTGAAAATTAAACCGTTTTCCAAATTTTTGTTTCGTTTTTTGAACTGAATGATAACTTGAGTAAATTTTGGATTTATTTTCTCCTATTGATATATCAAATTATAGCATTATTTTCGTCAATCCAAAGCGAAATATGAATACCAAATCTTTTGCATCTATTCAACAAAAATCTATAATCTAATTTTAATAAATTTATAAAACATATCTTCAATTGAAATATTCTTTAACTTTAATAAAAATAATGAAATTGTGTTTCAGCAACTTCAAAAAAACTTGAAGCATCATGGAAAATTACAAATATTTGATTTAAAATATTTATTCACGCCTGATAAACCAGTTAGTTAGTTAGTTTTAGTTGGAAGATAAGAAACTAAGTGATAAAACAAAAATTTTTTATTAGATTCATAGTTATAAAAATAATAAGCTATAATGTTCCGATCCAAAATTCGTATTCACACATGCCAAGTTATATTATTAACTTCTCTAGTATGGTTTTTGGTCGATGTGATGATACTCATGTTTTATTCAGATTGCATTGGTAAATCTGGATGGGGATGTTCAGATAATAAAGTAATAAGCACTGAAGAGAATTTAGCTCTTTTGAAAAATTCTGTAATAAATGATATTAAACCAACTAATGATTACAATAATAAAAAATATAAGCAATCAGAATTACAACTATGGCGACCAGCAAAAGTAGTAAGAGAAAATAAAGGAAGTCCTGGAGAGTTAGGAACAGCCGTTCGGATGCCTCCAGGCAATGAAGCAAAACAACAAGAACTATTCAAATTAAACCAATTCAATCTTGTGGCAACTGATATGATTGCTTTAAATCGGTCATTGAAAGATATTAGATTAGAAGGATGTAAAACGAAAAAATATCCTAAATATCTACCCACTACAAGTATTGTCATTGTTTTTCATAATGAGGCTTGGAGCACATTACTTCGAACAGTCTGGTCTGTTATCAATAGATCACCTAGAGCATTATTAAAGGAGATAATTTTAGTTGATGATGCCAGCGAGCGTGGTAAGTAACATACTTTCAGCACTTATCTTTAAGATAGTAAAAAGATCCGATCACTGCTCATGTAAAATGAACAAGATAAGATAATAATATAAATTTATATTTTATTTATAATTGTAGAAGTTATATAAATTATTACTATAAAATTACAAAATTTAATGCACATAGTCAATTCATAATATCTTTTATTGCAGAAAAAGTAGAAAAGCTATCTATGTATATATATATATATATATATATATATATATATA